AAAAGATACTTAGTACAATTTCAGTTGTTTTAAATTTGTTAAGACTCTTTTTGTGGCTCCTGTGGTTTATCCTAAAGAATGCTCTATATACACTTGAGAAAAACGTATTTTCTGCTGTTCTTGGATAGGGGGTTCTTTATATGGCTGTTAGCTACAAATGCTATCTGGTTCATTTATCCATTATTGAAGTGAGGTATTGAATTGAAATCTACTATTATTGTGTAATATTTTTTCTTTCCATTCTGTCAATATTTGCTTCACATATTTGGGTGCTCTGCTGTTAGGTACATATATGTTTATAATTATTATATCTCCTTGGTGAATTGGCCCATTTATCATCATATAATGTTCTTATTTGTCTTTTATTATAGTTTTTGACTTAAAGTCTATTTTCTCCAGTATAAATATGGCCATCTCTGCTTTCTTTTGGTTACCATTTGCGTGACCATCATTTTCCATCTTTCACTTTCAGCTTGTGTATGTCCTTTTACCTAAAGTGAGTCTCTTGTAAAAAGCTACATTCCATTTTATAGTCATTTTTTAAATTCTCTTTAAAATATGGTTTGTATACATGAAGCAACTTCAGCCTTTGTAATAATTGTGAAAAATATTTGAGTCTCCTTTGAATGAATAACTCTATACATTTTTAAATGTTTTATATACCAACTAGCACAAATCTCAAGAATAAAAAAGAACTTTATTACTTTAGTCATGAAATCCATTTGGCTGTAAGATCTGCTTTCCTAGCAGTGAATACAAATGTGTACCAGCCAGGAAGCATTAGTAGATCACAAAGCCTGACATGGTACATGAGGAGCCAGCTATTCACTTATGCAAATTAGAATAAATTGATGGAATAAATTAAAGATAATTTCATACACTACACTTTTTAAAGAGGGAGCCATTGCATAATGTACATTTGCTTATTTTTCCTTCATTATGCATTTTAATACCATGGTATTGGCATTATGTTTTGATCCAACTTGGCCAAAAGTTTGATATTTGTTTATTCTGTGTTTATTTAATATGGCATTCAAATCTGTGTTAACACTAAAATGTGCAACGCTAAATGCAAATGAAGATGTATGATTGCTAGATACAAATCCTGCCCTCATTGAACTTATAAGGAGACATACATATTGTCAATGGATGTTGTGGTAGTGATAGTTACATGTTAGTAGGGCAAGATGGAAGAGGGTACTCACACAAATGTGATAAGAACATCCATCTGCATAATTATATTGGCATGTATCTATTCCCAACTGGATTCTAATTTTTTTTTTTTTGTTTTATTTATTTATTTCTAGGAGAGAGAAACAGCGTGAGCAGGGGAGGGTCAGAGAGAGGGAGTCACAGACTGAAACAGGCTTCAGGCTCTGAGCTGGCTGTCAGCACAGAGCCCGACGCGGGGCTCGAACCCACGAACCGCGAGATCATGACCTAAGCGAAAGTCGGACGCTTAACTGACTAAGCCACCCAGGCGCCCCCCAACTGGATTCTAAATAACACACACACACACACACACACACACACACAAACTCTTAGCAAAAGTCATAAGGCAGACTCTGTCCTCTAGGGGTCACCTCCTCCACCAGGCCAGTTGAGAAGCTGATAAACCGGACACAGAGTAACATGTAACATGCCCTACAGAAGGCTGGTTATCTTACCTACTTTGCTTTCCATACCCCAGTTTCCCAGGGCCAAAACTCCCACATCCCCAAACACAGAAAGAGAACTTTATAAATATCTTGACAAAATTATAAATTTCTGTTTAGAATGCCCACATCTGTATTTTCCAGCAAGTGATCCACTTATGCAACCTTTAAAGTAATACAAAATATCTGTATACTATCAAATTTAAATAACTTTTTAAATCAAAATTAGCAGCTTAGTTAAATTAACATTGGTTTTATTTATAGCAGAGAGATGGGATTATAAACAGAACCAAAATAAAAAGGCAAAATGAATTTAGGGGACATATAAATACTTTTGTTTCAAGGTAACCAAACCAGAACTGAAACATATTCCAGCTAATTTGGGAAAGGAACTTCCATTTGTGTGCTCAGGACTGTTACCTGGGAGAAACTTCCATAACTTTTTTGGTGGTGACAACTATTTTCCCCAGCCCCAAGCTATATATACCCTGTTATACTCTGAGAATCCTGTTCTATCTGCTAATATAATTAATTGCCCAGTATCACTTCATAGCTTTGTTAATTCCATCTATTCTCATTTGATCCCCTGAACACTGTTACTCATAGAGAAATGGAACAGTAAGTTCGCAAAGGGAACTTGGCATTTAAAGCTTACTTTCATATCATTCCCAATGCAAGTTACCTTCAATTGGTATTCAACGAAATAAAGCCTGGTTAACCATCCCTATCTCTTTGCAACTAAATTCCTCTAAGAAATATAAAGACAAATTTATACTGTGTTGTTTCTTTACTGTTAGGCTGTATACCATGAAGCCTCCTGAGTGTTTAAGAATTTGTTACTTGGGGGACACCTGGGTGGCTCTGTAGGTTGGGCATCTCACTTTGGATCAGGTCATGATCTCACAGCTCATGGACTCAAGTCTCATTTTGGGCCCTCTGCTGTCAGCAATGAGCCCACTTCAGATCCTCTGTCCCCCTCTCTCCTCACCCCTCCCCCACTCATGTGCTTGCTCGCTCTCTCTCAAAAATAAAGACATTTAAAACTTTGAAAGAAACAAATTTATTTGACATTACTAAATACATTAGAGATGGATTTAAAAATGTTATCCAACTCAGGGCACCTAGGTGGGTCAGTCAGTTAAGCTTCTGACTTCAGCTCAGGTCATGATCACCTTACGTCAGGCTTTGTGCTGACAGCACAGAGCCTGGAGCCTGCTTCAAATTCTGTGTCTCCCACTCTCTCTCTGCCCTTCCCCCATTCACTCTCTGTCTCTCAAAAATAAATAAACATTAAAATTTTTTAAAATGTTATCCAACTCAAAATATATTTTAATTCCTCTACTACTAAATATAGTAAATTCTGCACAATGACTTATTAGCATTTTTTCTTATGAAATATCATGGCAAAGACCATCCCATTAGAGATTTTCACAAAGAATGTGAGGTTCAGCATTGTTCTACAATATTACTGTTATATGATTTTGATGGGACAGCCATTTTGGAGAACAGTTTGGCAATAGCACAAAATTAAACATGCTTTTACCACATGTTCAAGGAATTCCACTCCTAGGTACTTACCCAAAGCATATGAAAATATCTGTCTATGCAGAAAGTATGTATGCCAACTATTCATAATAGCCAGATATGAATAATACTATTCATAAATGCTAAAAGTCAGAAGTAACCCACAGGTTGCTTACTTTATTGATGAATACATCACAAACTGTGTTATTTCTGTATCATGGAATAGTACTCTGCTATAAAGAGAAATGAAATGGATGAATCTCAGAAACATAATGCTAAGCGAATTAACTCAAACACAATAGTCTGTGTACTGTATGATTCTATTTAAGTGAAATTCTAGAAAAGACATGATTATAGTGACAGCATGGTTGCCTGTAGCCTTGGGGGCACGAGGGGATAAGATGCAAAGAGGGTCAAGGAAACCATTCTGGGTGAGGGATCAGTTTGGTGGTGCTTGCACGGTAGTATACAGTTACTAAAAGAGATGGGGTGCCTGAGTGGCGCAGTTGGATAAACTAGTACTAAAAGTGTTAAACTGCCCACTTAAAATTGGTCGATTTTATTATCTGTAAGTAATGCCTTAAACAACAGCAAAAAAAAAAAAAGAAGGAAAAATATTAAATAACTTCGTCTTAGATATGTGTTACAAATTCTACAAAATAGTACATGTTCTTTTTTTTAATTTTTTTTTAATGTTTTATTTATTTCTAGGAGAGAGAGAGAGACAGCGTGAGCAGGGGAGGGTCAGAGAGAGAGGGAGTCACAGACTGAAACAGGCTCCAGGCTCTGAGCTGGCAGTCAGCACAGAGCCCGACGCGGGGCTCGAACCCACGAACCGCGAGATCATGACCCAAGCGAAAGTCGGACGCTTAACCGACTAAGCCACCCAGGCGCCCCCAAAATAGTACATGTTCTATGAAAGAACATGATCTGGGGTTTATTTCAAATCAAAAAGTAGGGATGGAAAAATATATATAGCTAAAAGTACAATAAAACTTTAAATCATTAACAGGTGATGTGTGGCATTTTATACATGTTGGATAAAAACCTATATGTACAAGAAAGACTTGGTTCAGGTTTATGTATTTATATTTATGGATAATTTTTATAGGCTGTAAATATGTTTAAAACTCCTTTGTTAGTGAACTGTAATTGGCAAGGTATTTCAAAAGGTGAATGTATTCCTTACTTTGAGCATATTGAGATAAAGAAGTGGCCGGTAAGTCTCTATTGCTGAAATGAATGATGGTCAGTGATTAGCAACAGCATTTATTTATATTTAAACTCTACTTGCTTTCATGCTAAACCACATTCTAATCATTCACCGTAATGAATTTTGAGACAGTCTAAAAATGCTAAGATAGCACTTTACAAGAAGAATATTTGGTCTCCTGGAGAACAAAACCGTTAAGTCCACCTGAGATAAATGGATTATATTCTTTTAAAGATTGCCTGAAGGTTTGGATTCACAATCCATCTCTCTTGCAGGTGAATCAGATTTAAGCAATTAAAAGCTTGTAAGTGCTGTTGCTTTTTCATCTTTCCTGCATCTAAAATGGTACTAGTCAGCAATAGCATTTTCCCCTCATCGTTTTGTAGTTCCAGACAGGGTTTGTTTCTAACAAAAAATGAACTGTAGCTTTCCATGAGTAGTATTTAGTATCACGCTTGCAATCTGTTTCCCCAAGGTTTCTCTGTTTTCCTTAGGATGCATTAGGATATATTTATTTATTTAACATACATTCCAACATGTATGGAGCAGTGGGAATTCTTATTTGTCATTGATCCATTCTCCTTTTAATCACAATTACTCTGTTTCAGAAATTACACTGTCGTTAATTCCAAAATCATCGTGGTCACAATAAGGCCTGAACCCAAAACAACTGATTCATTCCTGGAGATAGAACTAGCTCATTTGGCTAATGTAAGTATCATCCATGTGGCATTGAGTTGTTTATAGAATTTACCTTTTAAAAAAGTTAACAGTCACATATTTGATAAGATCGAAACACATTTTCTGGACTTTTTGGAGTTGTGAATGAAGCAATTGGTTATGAAGATTATGTCATATAGAAACAAAATGCCAGATTATCCTATGCTTTAGTCCATAATAAAACTCTCTTCAGTTTATGCAAGATAACAATTATTAAATTGTTTATCCATGTAGACATCTTTTTGGGCTTTGAGCTAATCAACGGGGAAGACCAAGATGAATAAGAACCTGTCTCACCTGTGGTGGGGAAGACAGCCTTGTAAATATATAGGTTTAAGATGCATGTAGTAATTGAAGTTATAAACATAATCTAAAGAGTACCCTAGCAGGAGAATGAGTGGAATGGCATTTAAAGTTCTAGGTCAAGATCAGAGAAGGCTTCTTATAACTAGTTTGATGCTCTAGTAATCTAAATCTGAACCTCCCATTCTAGAAAGACAAGAACCCATTCTCTTTTTTTTTTTTAATTTTTTAATGTTTTATTTATTTCTGAGAGAAGGAGAGAGAGACAGTGTGAGCAGGGGAGGGTCAGAGAGAGAGGGAGTCACAGAATCTGAAACAGGCTCCAGGCTCTGAGCTGGCTGTCAACACAGAGCCCAACGTGGGGCTCAACCCCACAAACCGTGAGATCATGACCTGAGCCGAAGTCGGACGCTTAACCACTGAGCCACCCAGGGGCCCCAACAAGAACTCTTTCTTGAATCCATCCAACTGCAACTAAAATTCTTTGAATCTTTTTCAGTCCTCCAGTAGAAATTTAAAATATCTACTTACCTTTATACATTTACTTAAAATGCTTAAATCATTGATGAATGGGGACAAGGAAGGTGATTCCTATTAAGGTTCTCCTAATTATGATTTACACTCCCTGTATTAAAGTGAGCCACTCTCTTATGTTGCATGTACACAGGTTTGTTTTTGTTTTTGTTTTTTGGGGGGGGGGAGGTTCGGTTTAATTCCTTGCAAAGTTTCTGGGAAGTTGATCATTACATACAAATAACAGAAACACAAAGTGTCATTTTTCCCAAATTGAGAAATTTAATGAATGACATAATAGAATTTATATTCACATCTTTTGGTTTATAAAATTACATATTGTCTCCTGTTTTATAACTTCTTGTTTCCAAAAAAATCAATCTTGGTTTTATAAAAAATGACAAATATCTTCCCTGTAAACCACTTTTTACTAACATGCTTCAGGCTTCCTAGATTGTTTAGTGAAAATCTCAAATCTCGTAGCAGTAGCTCTTAAACATCACAACCAATACTTCAACTATTGGGTCTTCTACTTTTGCCAAAATATGACCATACTGGTTCTATTTATTTCAAGGATGTATTTTATTTCTATAAAATCTACCTCTTTACACCTAAGATTAATCTTATCTCTACCTAACCTCATCACTGCACTGAAAACTGGAAATTCCTTTAAACATTACTTTTGAATAAGGAATATTTTTTTTTGTAGGTTCAAAATTGTTTAAAAAGATTTCTTTACTTAGGTATTTAGTTTTATTGTTTATTAGGGTAATGTCTATCCAGTTATAAACATTGGTAAAAAAATTGTAAGAGATACTAGTTCCCTGAATTGCTTACTAAAAAAGCAATACAGTGCCAGAATGTCTATCATGTTTCTTATGGAAAAAACACTTATGTAAATGAACATTTACAAAACTTTCCTAAATAAAGTCATTATTGATGGTTTAAAGAATATATTAATCAAATGACATTGTTTTCATAAGTTGAAGAAAGAATAACGTCAGAAATAGCATTGATGAAATAGTCTCACTATTTCAGTTCAGTAAAACTATTTGAAATGAACAGATTCAAGCTTTGAGTCAAACTTCACTTCTGGGGGAATATTTTGTTAGCCAATTTATAAAGGAGATAAACCATGTACAGAAAGTCACTTTCTACCTATGAAAACCCAAGTACATAGCCAATATACTTTATTAAGCACTAGCTAGACACTGGGGTGACAATGAAAGTCAGGATATAAGAATGGTGAGATAATGATCACGAGTTACTTAGAACTAATTCTGTTTCATTATTTTGAGTGAATGAGTTGACCAGATTTTCAAAACAATACGTTCTCCACTCTAGAAGATCCCCATTTAAGGGAATATAGATGAATCTGTTGAAAAGGGGGACTGAGGAAAGAGGAGAAGAAGAAGAAAAGCTTACGCTGGAGAAGAAACTGGCGCCAAATATTCTCACTCACGTATATTATCCCCTTACACGCAGTGTCCACCTGTCTTCAGAGGCCCTAATTAACCACCACAAAGTGGAGCCTCTCTGGATGGCTGGATTCCTCATTTCTTCCCTTTATTTTATAAATACCTTTCACACTTTGTCCATACAATACATACAGTCCTTCATGCTATCCTGTTTTGAATTTCTAATGCTTGTTGTATTTATACTTACTGTCCAAATTAGAGTTTATAAAGTACTACTCACTGAGGGAAAGAATATATAATTGATTTGTTGAGTAGTTTAATATTTATTACCAGTCTTATATACTTTATATACTGATTTTAGTTCGTGTCCATTGAAGAGCCAATCAAAGAGCCCACACTGAAATATAATAGTGTTCACCAATATGAATACATCTTAAATATGAAAATAGAAATTGATTAGAAAAGCTGAAATTTTAATACAACTCTACACAGATGAAGATTATCATTGTTACTGCCTTCAAAATTGAACTATTTTAGATACATTTCTAATAGCAAGTCTACTTTCACATACTTTCTTAGATCAAAAGTATGCACCACACTCCTGAGCTCAGAAAACAGTAATGGCTTGCAAATTATATCTGTTTCATATACCATGTTGAAGAAAAATGAAGAATGGGAATTAATAGTTATAGTGAGTCTAGGGAAAAGCCTGTTAACATTTTAACATAATAAACGAAATGTGTTCTTTTAAAAAGCTTTGTAACAAATAGCTCTAAAGTATGTTAAATATAATAAGGCCCTTGGGAGCTGGAGGAATAGGTAGCAGAATATGGAATCTTGAAATTCCAAATTGTATGTAGCAAAGCCAATTGCAGTTTTACCCTTGTATGTAGCAAAGCCAATTGCAGTTTTACCCAGCTCATAAATCATTAATAACTAAGATGCTATTCTTAGTTCAGTTTTGGGGAACCTATGGCTTTATTGTGGTGACCTATAGTGTCAGAGTTTGTGGTCCCTCATGCTTAGGAATAGCAATCATTTGCTTTTAAAAAATATCAAATTTGCTTTCACAGAAAGAGAATTTTATTTTTTTATGTTACTTAAGGCTTCTTCAATGTGACATTTATGCTTGTTAATATTGTTAGATTACTAATATATAAGGAAAGTTATAAATTTTATTGAAAATAATTATTGAGACCTAAATAAGTATAGTGGAATGACCCTAAATGCTCATGCACAAATCCACATATGCACACTTACAGACACCCACCATTAGGATGCCTTGGATCCGATAGATCTGAGCTGCTATGACTTTCTAAGGTGGATAGTATCTCCATCTTTAAAGATGAGTTAGAAAAAGAAGAAAATGCATACATTTTAGTTATATCATTCTCTATCAACTTTGTTAGCCTGAAAATGCATTCCTTTTCCAAATGAAGAGGTTTTTAGGTTGTCCATTTTGGAAAGACAGTTTGGACTCTGCTGGTCTGCAGTCTCTGTGGTCTTAGTCTCATTTTAGTTCTTCCTCTGAGTAATAACTGTAATGATCTAGTTAGCATGATACTGCTGTCTTTCAGGACTGAGAAAAAACCATGAGGTTTATTTGTAATTCTCAAATTGGTCATACTCACAAAAGAATCCCATGGGAATTTGGGCTTATGGGTTTTATTGTCTTTGCCATATTTGCTTGCATACTAATAGGATCAGCTAACAAATTAAGGAGTTTGTTTTATGTGTACAAACTAAAGTTAATCATGAGCCATGGCCTTTGTAAATCATAGCTGCAAACACAATGGAAGACTATAATGAATGTGCTTGTTACCATTAGATAAGCATGAGAAACAATGAAAAGAGATTTCAAGCACTTTCAGTGGATATTTTCAAAAATATCAAAGGCTGATAACAACCTAAGGAATTAAAAATCACTTGACAAAGCTCAAGGAAGTCCAGTCTATAAATCTGTAATTTCTGCAAAGAGGTGTTTGTATGCCTTTATGTTTTGAATCACTTTTCTACCCTTACTTTTGTCCATTTGAAAGAGATTTCTGATTTTGTTTTCTGCTTAAAGCTCTTGGTAATTTTTGTGGAAGAGTCTTGAAATGCTAACTAGACAGACAGATTGATGGCTCTGTCACCAGCTGAAATTGAGATAGAAGTTGTTCCTTAGCTACATTTGTAATGATTTTTTGTTTGTTTTTTGTTGTGGTTGCTGTTGGGTGTGTGTGTGTGTGTGTGTCTGTGTGTTTGTGTATGTGTGAGTGAGTGTGTGTTCTTGGTTACATCCTAATTCCTCAGCTCAAGCAAGCAACCTTCTCGCTTACATTTCAAATACAATTTAGTTTGATTCATAATACATAGTTAAAATTTTTCAAAAAGATTTTAGAATAATTCTGCTCTTTTGCAAGCAGTGGTGAGCAAACCTTTTTAGTTAAGAGCCAGATAACAAATATAGACATGTGAGCTATAATGACCTCTGTCACATTTACTCAGCTCTGCCGATGGAGCATGAAAGCAGCCAGACAATATCTAGACAAATGGGTGTGGCTCTGCAATGAAATTTTATTTACAGATTTGGATTCTGGGCTATAGAGTTAGTCAACCTTATATAGTAAACAGAATCATGCCCCCACCCAAATACCCATGGCCTAACCTCCAGAACTGGGTATGGTACGTGTCAAAAGAGACTTTGCAGATGTAACTAAAGGTAGGGAAACTGAGATGGGGAAATTATCCTGGATTATCTGGGTAGGTCTAACT